TGTCATTATTTTTGTCTTGAGAAGCTTCACTTTTCGTTCTTATGTCTTTTTAAGCTTTGAAGTCGCGTTCGCATGATAAGGGCAGAAACAAAATTTTACCCCCCCTAAAGCATATTTTTTTCCTTACCAAACGAAAGTACTTAAAAATTCAAGAAAATGTTGCCTTCAAACTATATTACTAAAATAATCAACAAAAAAGTTATTTCACTTACAATATTTATTGCTACTTAAGCAAATTTTGGCGCGAATCAAGGCTTTTATATTGGTCTCGGCTTTCTAATTTTGCAAAAATGTGGCCCAGGCGCTTTTCATCAGTGACAGCACTTGCAGACTCACTAACAACACGCACAAACCGTTCGGTATTCTGGGAATGACAGAGGAACTCTAAAAAAAAATGATTTAAAAGTACTATAAGACCCGTGAAGTTTTTAGTTTGAAGATATTTACCTGGGATATTTATCACTTCATTTTCCGAAAATTGAAACATTGTAAGTTCACTATCTGGGTAGAACTGCACACAAGGGGGTTCCGTAATCTTAAACTGACTCCAATCGATCATGCTGACATACGACTTACTTTCAAAGTTTATTACGCCACGCTTTGGGACCTTGAACACGCGAAGCCCTGCTGGTGGATATTGACGTGCTGTTTTGATTTTTTCGTACCCATCATTACGTATCTCTGGATCAGCGTCGGTTATCATGGCTAATAATATATTTTCTGGGTGAAAATAATATGCATTATTTTCTATAGCTGAACGTATAATGGCTTGAACAGCATTTGATAGTTCGCGTATCCAGCAAATATACTTAAAAACGTGTCTACTTCCATGAATTGCTTGTGGCTGGCTCTTTACAAGAAACCAGAATGGTGCATAAACTTTCACAACAAACTCTACCATGTTTCGCAACTCCGCTGACGGGCTTTCTTTGGAAACATATACCCGAAGTAACCTGGAAGCTGTTGTAAGCCACCGAGCTGTACTGACGGGACCGGGGCTCTTACTAGCGAGATATTCATCGCATTCACCATTATTTACTGCCAAAACCATATCAAATAAATAACGCTGATCATTGCGTAATTCCCAAGAGCCAATATTTTCAGGAATAACTCCCATAGCAATAGCCTCAAAACCACTTACAACCTGATAAGGAAAATATATGTTTTTGTTTATAACATTAACTATTATAGTGTGGACAACCTACCGGGTATTTGGTGCAAGTCATAATTTCAGACCCCAACACCCCTGGCCAAACACCAGGTCCTTTCTGCTTGCCAATATAATGCGTTAACAACTTTTTTAGAGGCAACTCGTTGAAATGTAACAAACACACATTCCACTGCAAGGGCCTTTGTAAATAACGTTCCATTTGTGCATTTACTCCAATTTTATATCCAGTATTGACAGCTGTACCATCACAGCTTATAGCTACAAGTTCGTTTAAGCAATATTTTTGGGTATTCAAAAAGCTTACTATTGCTTGCTGGATTGCTTCCCCAGTGCCTTCTTTTGGAGATACGTATCCAATAAATTTCGAATCAGGCTCTTTCAAAATTGTAATATGCTCCTCTCTTAGAAGCATTGTTCTTACGCTACCGTGAACTATTTTTTTTTTTAGTGTTACGTCCTGTTTACCATCATACGAAATGCATTTAAGATCAGTGCCAGTTTTTGTTGCTGCTTCAGTTTGTGCTCTACATTTGTTACGCTCGCGTGAAATTTTATTTTTGTCAATGACCAGATAATCAAAATATTTCATAATTTTATCCGCTGTGTTTTCTTTAAAATCCTTTTTTACTTTTGTAGCAATCGCAGCTTGCAAATCTTTTATTAGCATTGTAGCAAGCAATGATCCAAAGCGATCTGAAGTATCCGTCCTATCTAACGCCGAGCAATAATTTTTTAAGGACAAATCAGATACTTTTAAACTTTGTGTGACTTCTTCACTTGCTTCATCGTCTTCACTTGAGCTAGGCACATAACCAATCGAACTTGCAGCGGTTTCAGTGTGATTTTCAACATTACATTCTAGCGAGCAATTGTCAGTTCTAGTATGATCAAGCCCACTATCTAATGACAAAAGCCTTGGCCCGCATTGATCATAAAGAAAGTCATTTACCGCGGTTGGAACTCTACTTGCACTAGGGCAATCACATTGTCGATTTAAGTCCATAATGCACTTACACTTTGAAATTAACAATATTTTATTCCATTCCTGATCATTATATTCATAAGGATGTTTTTTTACATTGTAATAACTTTGAAGGAGGCTTTCAATGTTTCTCCGGAGCGTAGTTCTTGTAACTATAGGGATGTTTGCCTGCTGCCACAACTTTGAAATTGTGTTCATAACTATTGGCAAATATTCATTGAGACTTCGATTTTTTGGAACACTTGCAGAGCCGTAATATTTAAGGAACAAAAAATATTCAATAACACCACGTTTCGTAGGTAACATTTTAATATCAATATCGCGCTTAACGAAAGCCATTTTTAAATTGCACACACTGTTAAGTCACTTTTTAATTTTATTTCACCAGCACAATTTATGGTATTAATTATAAATTATTATTATCAATACGAAACAACAGGTTTGACTCACTTATTTACTTTGACTTCCACAATTTATAAAATTTATTGGCATGATTAAATTACAAGAGGTTAGCTCGCTATTGACAGCGTCAGTTTTGCACTCCCCGGGTTGCTGATGCGACGAAAACAAAGAGTATGAATTTGGGAAAAATCGTAGCAAAAATGTACCTAAATTGGTACGAAAGCAGTGAGATTAAATTTCCAACTAAGAAAACTGTTGGAGGAATTTGTGGGGGCGAATTTTGTTAGCTGACCTAACCATGGGTAAACGACTTCATAGCTTAAAAGGAAATGTGATGACATGTTAATTTTAAAAATCGGCCGTCAAATACCCAACTTTCAACGAAAAAACCTTTTCGGCTGTATTTCGAAGGGTTAAAAAAAAAATAAAATAAAAATTTCGAAATCCTCTCAACATAATCCTTAAATTTAGGTTACTCTGTTGCATAAAAAAATCAATTTTTGTTGTACTGTGTTATTATACTTACATCTGAAACTCATGTTGACCTGTGATATTAAAAGTGCTATAACTCCTTTGTTTATTATTTTAGTAATATAGTTTGAAGGCAACATTTTCTTGAATTTTTAAGTACTTTCGTTTGGTAAGGAAAAAAATATACTTTAGGGGGGGTAAAATTTTGTTTCTGCCCTTATCATGCGAACGCGACTTCAAAGCTTAAAAAGACTTAAGAACGAAAAGTGAAGCTTCTCAAGACAAAAATAATGACATATCAATTTTAAAAATCGGCCGTCAAATAACCAAGTTACAACGAAAAAACCATTTCGGCTGTATTTCGGAGGGTTAAAAAAAAAAAAAAATTTTTCCAGAACCCTCTCAACATAATCTTTAAATTTAGGGGCGGACATTAGCAACTTTTTTTTTCGACCCAGTCTAATATACACGTAAGCTTTGATTGTTTTTCGTCAAAATTCTATAGCTCAGAGGCATTTCATGGTACATATAATAATAATAGTCCCAACGGTTTTTACCCTCCATTCCCGCCCATCCGCACGAGGGGCGCAGTCCGCATGACGTACGGAACCAGTATTTATTTTCAATTTTTGCGCCGAGTCACAATAGGCAGGAGTTTGTTAAGTGTCGAGATCTTAAACTGTTCAGCTACAGAACTAAATTCATCAGCCGATTTTATGTCTTTATTTTAATGATTCAATTATTGAGAGAGGACAGTATCGATTTCTTAATGCTGAAAAGCGGATCTGATATATCAAACGTGCTGGAATGAGAGTTAAAATCCTGGCATAAGCAACGGAGTGGGTCGTGCAATTCAAAATTAGTTTTACAAGCTTTCAGAAATAGGGGACAAAAGTGTCTTGATACCCGGGAGGGAACATTAAGGCTAACTTCGCCCAGAAGAAGCGGACTTGAAATTGAGCCTGTTAGTAATTTAACTATAAAAATTGTACCAAGCATTTGCCTGCGGCAGGAAAGTGTAGGAAGGTTAATAAGTTTTAATCAGCTCGTATAAAGTGGAAGGTTATATTGAGAATCCCAACGGAAATTTCTTAAAGCAAAAAGTATGGTCAATGATGGGTTTTCTTCAGAATTAAATTTTCTATAAAAGTGTCCAATGCGGCGCAACTCAAACTCCCACCAGCGAGTTAGTGCGGGTTACTAATCCCAATATTTTAATGAAATTCCCGTTCTAGAACACTAAATCGCTAATATCGATATTTCTTGAGAAATTGGGCTTTGAAGTTGATCAACAGTTATCACAATTTAGCTCAATAACCAATGAAAATTCCACACTACCTCAATTTCAAATCCCAATATCTGAAGAAATATCGATATTAGCGATTTGGTGTTCGAGAATTTTTTTGTAGTAACTTGAATGACCTACAAGTTGGTGATTTGCAATTTTTCTGTACCTCTTGTTATTTACGAGATAGGGGCAAAAAACGGGAATTTCATGAAAATATTGGGTTTAGTGACCCGTACTAACTCGCTTGTGGGAGTTTGAGTTACGCCGCAATGGACACTTTTGTAGAAAGTTTAATTTTGAAGGAAACCCATCATTGACCATGATTATACCATGAAATAGCTCTGAACTATAGAAGTTTGTAGAAAAAAATCAAATTTTACGTATATTTTATATTGGAAATGTTTGAAAGCCTTGGGCGAGAACTTAATGTTAATATTAAGGGTTTAAATTTGCAGGGAGTTTTTTTTAGATGTTTTCCACAAAATTTCGAGGTAGGAGTGAAAAAAACAATAGTCGCAAAAGAAAAGGACCCAAATGTACATATGTATATATGCATTAGACAACCTCTATTTGCGAACGTCCGCCTTATTTCGCTCCCCACGCATTGTCGGATACCTTGAGGATAAAAAAATAAAGTATTCAAAAAGATAAGCC